GGGAATGTGGCCTGGCACATCTGAAAGTTCTGTGGCTACTACTCAGCATCCCAAACCTGCATTACAAGGTGATCCCACCAGTCAGTGCTTGTTTCTTGGGCCCAGAACTAGTGCTCCAGCTGCTCCAAGAACACCAACAACCTTGAATTGTTTCTTTTTCTATCCCACAGCAATCTAGCCTTCAAGGAATCCTAGTTCCCATGGCTCCTCTTGTGTCTCTGCAAATACTGCAGGATCAGGTGCCTTCCCTGTGCTCACAATGCTCATAACAGTAGTGCAGAGCTGTACAGGTTCCATGCTTCTGTCAGAGCTGACAGCCAGTGAGGAGGGATAGGTGAATTTGTGGGGATTTTGAAGAGATGGGAACTATTATGGGAAGCAGATGAAATTATGGGCTGGAGAATATTGCATTACAGGCAGTTGAAGCCATGCTCCCAATCATCCCTGTGCAGCTTATTTTGGCCCCATGAGGCATTGGAAATACTTCTCAAACCACTCTGCAGTGGGTGGTGGCGAGTTGCACAGAAGGATACCTACCCATGGTGCACTGCACTCTGTATTGCTACAAGCACTCCCTGTGAGGACATGGCCCTTGCCGACAGAAGGAGAGTAGTGTAGACATGGCCTAGATTCTTTTTGTGTAGCTTCCCTTTTTAAAGTTAAATGCTACTGTGGTGGGATACTTTGGTATTTCCCCCTACAAGAAGGTTAAATGTAGTTACATTATGGTTGCTATTACCAAGCAGTTCAGCTGTATGCATTCCAGGACTATCTGCTCCCCCAAGTAGTCATACAGTAAGCAGGCTCAGAGGTTACCTTAGAGCATGCCTACCCAATTGGACCCTGCACGAAACCTAGCCACTGGTGGTGCCAGTGCACCCGTCCCCCCAACACACAGTGTGTACACAGAAAGTTGAAGAGCCCATGCCTGGGCTGGGGAAGAGCTGTGTTCTGTTTCCTCTGCCTGAGAGGAGCAGGGACATGAACCCAGCTGAATGCCCTAACCATTGGGCTGTGGGGCACTCTGGGGCATGTCTCGCTCTCTCACCTCTTGAAGCTGTTCCACTTTACATAACAGACTGAACTATTCACTGGGCCCGAGCGAGAGAAAATCACTAAAGCTAGTAGTCAGGGCATCACCTGGGATGCGGGCGAGCGAGTTCAAGGCCGTGTTCTGCTGACTATAAATACATATACAGAGGGGAAGAGCTGCAACAGGAGAGACTGAGCCCTGCCACCAAACGCACACTGGTAACATGGGAGATGGGTTCAAATTCCATCTGCTCTCAGGTCAAGGGGGAATGGGAGTCTCAGTCTCCCATGTCCTGGGTGAGTGCTAGACCCCCACCGCTAGTGGTAGAAGAGGCACTAGTACTCCCCCCCCCCTTTTTATTTTGGCAAGAAAGAACTGCCCTGGCTCAGGTCCCTGACTCCAGGAACATTCATGGCTGAGATTCCTGAGTGGAGATAGGCATCTCCCCCGGCAGAGCCCAGTTCCCTTTGAGGGCAGAGCTTAGACCACACACGTCACCTTGGCATTACCTCATGGCTGGCTCAGTGTGCTGCCCTCTGAGAGTCCCAGTCTTAGGTACCTGTTTCGCTCCATGTCTTGTACAAGGAATCCTGGCACCTAACTCGGGGCTGCAGATTCCATGAGGCAGCAGGGCACCTGCAGGTTAGGCGTTGCAATGCTGAAACTAAGTCCCCTTTGTGGATCTGGCACAGGGTGTTCTCTATGGCCCACTGGTACACCTCCGTGTGGTCATGGCTGGGGATTAGCTCTGCCAGTCTGATGCTCTTTCTGTGGGTGCTCACTATGTCTCTTGGGACTCTCCAGTTCCCTCTTCATGGCTTGGCCCTCTGGACAGGTAACTGTAATTTTCCCCTCCCAGGGGGGTTTGTGTACCAAGGTCTCTGTACCAGGCAATCTTCCAATTCACTGCCCATCAATGGTGCCACTTCCTCAGTGGCTGGTAGGGGAACCTGAGCCCACCTTTTACTCCTGGTTCCAGCCTAGGGACCTTATAAACAGTGGCTAAGGTCTGCGCTGTCCCACACCTTGCTACTGTTGTCCTGGACTGCCTCCTACATTGCCTCTAGCAGGCTCCTTCTCCACCTTCCTCCGGGCCAGCTCCATGCTCTCCATAGCCTCAGAGAGAGTGACTGCAGACCTCCACTCTGCAGCCCCTTTCTGCCCTCTGCTACCGGGCTTTATACCAGCCCTGTCTAAGTGAGCTTCATCATTTAATTAATTCTCATTGTTCCCTAGCTCCTCCTCCAGGTGCAGCCAAAGTGCTTAATTGGCTTAAGTAGCCACCATAACCCCTTCAGAGGCTGGTGTAGGGTAAACACCCCATCATGCCAGCCTTTCCTCTTGTTTGAGTAAATTTAGTGTGGTTGAAAAGTGCTGGGGGAATGGTCCTGCAGCCCAGCACTTCATGCTGCCTCGTGCTCCAACATTTTAAGTCCCTCTAGAACATTACCAGAAAGCAGGCTTAAGGTAATGTGATGTAAGCTCCCACCTCAGGCCTGATCAGACCCCCTTCCAAGTTATATAAAAGTGGAGCTGGTGTTTCACAGATGCTAGGGGAACTGTTACTACAAGCCTGTGAGAGGGTGAAGGACTGTACGTGAAACTCCTTGAGGCCCTGTCAACTTAAGGAACCTGACAACAGTCACAGCATCCTGCCATTGGGCACCCTAGATGGTGTCAGTGATCCCATAAATAGCCCCTGCGGACAGCAGTTGTGACAGCATATCATCAGGTGCGTTAAAGTGAGTTATTAATAATATGCCATGATGCCCATGTACCTAGGGCCAGACACCTCTTCATAGAAAACAGATTCAACTAGAGAGTTCTCCTGTATCTTATGTGCTTGTTTGCCAGATGATGACGAGGCTTCTTGCTTGGGAAAAAGGGTGGACAGACTCCCAAGCATTTCCTGAACCAGGGCTCTAATGAATAGCTCCTTGAGCACTGTACCATCGCAGCTGGGGTTAGATAAGACACTGGCTAATAATGCAGGAGGGCAAGCATGGGAGGCCTTGGGCCTGGCCTTGTCTGTCTCCTTTTACAAATGAAGTTTTTTCTGATTTCTCCTTTTCTCATGGGAGGTGGGGGCAGCTGGGCAGACACCCAGCACCACGCCTGCTGTCTAGCACACGCGCAGAACCAAGTCGCACTTGCTTTAAAAAGTATGTGTGGTACCAAGCTGTGGCTGCTTTCAGACACGCACCCTTGCTCCTAGGTTCTGAGCTCTCACATAGTGTCCTTTCCAAATCTGTATTTGGTAGCTTATCTAGTTATTTTAGTTTCCTGACATGTGATGTCAAGCAGTCTTCACAGAGGCAATTGTGCTTTCTCCTGGTGCGTGAGCTGTTGAGATGTGACAGGTCCCTGTCAAGGAGGGAGCAAGACTGACCTGAGACAAAGAAAGAGGGTGCAGCTTTCATTTGTTTCACTGCAGCACTGAGCTCATCCCCAGACAGAGGAGGGTAGTGAAAGCCTTGGAAGTGGGTGACGTGGAGCTTGGTCGGCTCGCACCTTGCAAGGGGAGAGCACTGTAAAGAAATGGGTGCTCTGCTGCTCTCCCTGGAGGTTCCTGGGAGCAGCCCTGTGGCTTCAGTGCACTGTCTCCCCTGCCTACAATTGCGGCGAGCTGCCAGCGCCACCTCCAGGGAAGGGAAACTGAGCTGGAGGGTGTTTGGAAGGCAGCTTGGTTACCTTAGGCTAAATCAGACAGCGTTAGCAGGAATCCAGGGCTTGTGTTTGGGAACTGGAGCTTCCTGCTTGGAGAGAAGTGGCTAAGAAGGGACGAGCAGGGAGAAGGGCCCAAGCTCTTCTTGTTACACTGAGTCGCTGCAAGGCTTCAGCTAAGTTAGCTCTCTGCTGGAAAGCTCTGCCCACCGCCCTCCACGGCAGAGACGTACCCACCTTGCAGGGAGCAGCCTTCATTTGTTCAAGTCCTTGAGCCCAATTCTGCTCAGTTACATCTGCATGAATCCAGCGTAATGGCCTGTCTCAGCACCTGCGGAACTGACTGCACAGCTGGCCTGGAGGGGCTTGTTACCCACGTGGTGTAGGTAGATTTCCAGAAGGGCTGACTCGTAGTCTCCTTTGCCCCAGGGTTGTTTGTCCCTGCAGCATAAATAACAGGTGCAAAGCCAAGTATTTGCTCCTGCAGCTCCTGAGCACAGGACTCTTGTTCCATCACTCAGCTAGGAGCCAGGACTCTCACCTACCAAGCAGGGTTTGAGCCTGTGGTGTGCATGTCTGTCTGTGCAGTCTGGCTGACATGATGTGGACTGTGCCACAACCAGACCTGACATGTTTGCTAGGTCATCATCCATGGCTTGTGAACATAATATGTGGCGGTAACGGCTGAGCCATCTGAAAAAAGGATGCATGGGACCCTAAGGGGCTGGAGTCCAGCTCTCCTTTCTGATTGCAAGGCTGTTTGCTTTCATGACTGGACAGGTACTGTTTTCTGAATGGAGACTTGGGGAGGGGAAATTTTTTTCAAAGTACAAAGCAGAACAGTTGGCAGGGGAGGGTTTTGGTGGGAGAAACTCTACTCTGGATAGAAAGAGGGTGCCCCCCACTCCTGACTTGACTGGAGGGAGGACAGTGGGTAAGCCCAGTGGGAGGGCTCATGGGGAGGCAGAACCAAGACTACGTGGGGGGGGGGGGAAGAATGGTGCTTGAGGTGCAGGTGATGGTGGAGCCAGGATCTGTCAGCTGATGAAAAACAGCACTTCTATAAAAATACAGTGCTCATGGCCATGCTCCCGTGGCTGGGAGTGTACACACAGACAAGCCCCACCAGTCCTGGCTGGAGAGTCAGGGAGTCTCGTCAGAACCAGCACAGCTGGAGTCAGAAACACAGCTCACTTCAAAGACACTTTAACTGATCAGCCATTTTCTGTTAGTTCAACAACTTCTAGTATAAATTCTTCAGACACGACACACCACCCAGACACCAGGCCGAGCCTGGGACGTATTGAAGTACACTGGCTTTTTATTCCATGCATTTGTTTGCTTTGACACTCATTCTTGTTCCCATCACTGTACACTGTTCAGTACAGAAATCAAGTTTGTATCAGGAAGCCACAGCGCAAGGAGGAGAGAAAGGGAGATGTGAGACACTGGGAAGGGCTGAGATGAAATGGTCACTTTTAACACACAGTGGGAAAAACAACATTAACCATAAACGCCAGAAGCCAGGCTGGTGTTGAGGAGCTGTCAGAAGCCATGCTGGGTGAGGAGTGGGCAGTGAGCCCACAACTCACCCTTCTCCTGGGAGGGAGAGTTTATAGGGAAGAAAAGAAAATGAAGTAGCCTGTCTACTCACGGGGCTGTTCTCTGGGCATTTCGAGCCTGCCCTTGCCCAGGCCGAATGGCACTGTTACTAGTGCTTCCACCTGCAGCTCACCCTTTGTAATCCCCTAGTGCAAACTCTGCACTCAAGCCAGACAGCGGCACCTGCGCTCAGCTCCACCCGTGTAAATCCACAGTAAGTCAACATGCTTCGGTGAGGTTACACTGGGCTTACAGCCTTGGCCTCTAGTTCTCACCTTCCTAAGAGCTACAGTCTAACCAGTGAATGAAGTCTAGACTTTGCAATACAATGGACACATTCCTTTGCAGACGTTACAGAACTATTGCCTGGAAATACAAAACCTGGCCTGCTCCTTCCTACCTTGGCACATCAGACTGCACCAACACTGGCACAGGTGCATGGATTTTATTCATGTCACAGGTCAGATTATGATCCTTACTACAGTATTCCTCAGGCTACCTTGTTCCTTGAATACTTTCATAAACTCAACCCCCGTTCAGAAATATGGTACCTAGCACTCCTCAGGAGCGCCAGCACCTGTAGCCTTAGGACTTTTATCCTACTCCTATACCTTGGTTTGGTTTTCACCCTCTGCACACTATTTATAAAAGCTCCCAGTGCTGTGGAATCAGACATACAGCGATGTGTGAGGCCCTGCCCTTATGGAGGGACAGTGGCGATGGGATGTGCTATCAGTTATAGCAGCACTTTTTGAGAGTGACAAAGCCAGCACTCCAAAACAAACCCCTGAACGCCCTGCAGCAACCTATGCTGGATAAGACATGGTTTACAGAGCAAACTATTTCACTGATGTTTCAAGGAGTTTTTAAAAACAGCTCAGGCTGTTGCTCCATCCCTTGGCTTGGAAAGGCAGCCTGCCTGAGTGACATAAATCCAAGTGTGCAGCACCCTGGGCAAGGGGAGCCCAGAAATGATCATAGTTCAAGGCTGGATAGGACCATTAGGTCATCTAGTCTGATGGGGACTAAATAATAGGTTGGAAACTTCCACACGTAATAGTTGTTCTATGTGCTATAGTGTGGCATGTTTGAGGCCCGATATCTCGGGACAGAAGCAAGAACTGAAATATCCAGATCCCAGGGCTTCACAGTTTCTGATGACAAGATCTTGGACCTTAAAATTGCTTCTGACCTACACCTGACCGCTGCCTGCTTTGATCCTTGGCCCAGTAAAATTGGGGGTGATTGGCTCTGGTAGGTTTTTCCTTTTTAAGTACCTGTTGTTTCAGGGTGTGTAGAGGTTTGGAACGTTAGAGGGAAGCTGCCATGAGTGTGTGTGGAATGTAGGCCAGGGGCTCCAGTGCCAGGACATCCTCACATGCATGGTATACTCTTTGCTGGGAAAAGTGCACATGCCTTCAATTAAGGGCAGATGCAAAACTAGACCATGTTGAACCTTCTGGGATGGAGACAAGCACAGGTGCACTCAGGGGCTGCCTGAGCTATTGCACAGTGCACACCAAGATCCAGTCATGACCCAGGAGAGCCCGGCACCTCATACAGCATAGCTGCTGTCCGCATGCTACCAGTGTACAAGGAGCAAAAACACTAGAAGGAGTCCTGAGGGAGGCACTAACTGTTGGCAGGATTTCAGATACCTGCCAGCAGGTAATGGGGGAAGTGCCTCTGAGTATGAACAGGGGCAGCAGACCAATGCTAGGGCAGAGAGTGCTCACACCAAAGGGGATGATTTTGTACTGCCTCTCCATGAGAGTGAGGAGTGATTGTGACAGACAGTGGAGCTGAGCAATGTGGTTGAAGGCAAGGCCATGAAGAAGCCTAAAGAGGCGTACAGTACAGAAAGCAGGTAGGGCCACAAAACTCACATGCTTCCCAGTATATGTTAGCAGGTGCTATTGTAAGTCTAAGAACTTTCAGAGAACTCCCTCATGTCACTCACCAGGGGCTACCACTATCTCTGCGTGCTGGCAAAACAACTCCTGTGGGCACCAGGGAATCCTTCATGCCTTCTCAGGCAGGGTCTGATTGATATGGAGTCGAAGCACCTAACTCAGGGCTCTGGCAGTCTACAGCATGAGGTCGGACGGTCCCTTCTTGCCTATGCTCTACGGCTGCCTTGGGAAATGAGCGCTCTCTTAAGAAAACACTTGACATCTCAGGTGAGCAGGGCTGGCTTGGCACATGAGTGCCCTCTCTGCACATCACAGTCCAGATCACCCTTAGCAGCACAGCCTCTGCTGGAGCTTAAAGCTCTCTGCAGGGCCAGGCATCAGCATTCCATTTTGGGGTGAACCTCCCCATCCCTGGCACACTGAATTTGGTCCCCCCTGCATTTGTGGTGGTCAATCTGGCCCCTGCCTTCAATTTCTACAGGGTGGCTGTTGGTCCTCTCTCCTCCTTTATCTAGCTGTTTTATGCGAGCATTTGGGACCTCCTCTGTAGCACTACCACTAGAATTGATGCCCTGCTCTGTACTAGCAGCCCAGAATGCTTATCCAGAGAAGCTCGCTCAAAACTTTTTGCTTATTTCTCACTATAAAGCACTCGCTCCTGTCCAACCCTTTCCCCTCACTCCATCTGCCTCCCCCCCAACCCTCACACCCTGCTGTCCCTCCGTTAATCAGGAGCAAACCCAAACTGCACAGTTTCACCCGTGTGGAAGATCTCTAAAGCCCATGAAACTGAGTACCTCCTCCTTCGCCTTGCAGGCCAGCCCAGACTGACACAGCCTCCAGAATGACTGTGCTCTGCATGACACCAGCAGAGGTCACAGCAGGGGAGCAAATACTGACAGCCCCTGAAACCAGCTCTGCTCCCATCCTTCTATGATGCACAAGAAGGAAATAACATCACATGAAGAGAGAACAATTGTGCTAGCAGTAAAGCCAACCTTCTGATCTACAGAAAAGTTAATAAATAAAATAATGTAATAACTTAAGATCTACATGTAGTCCAGCTACAAAAATTTTAAAATATGGAATAATTTAACTCATACAATACTGCTCTTTGTATAAGCAAAACATTTTCCTTCATTCTTGCCACTAGGCTATAAATTATCAAGGCTACGTTCAAATCAACATTTTAACATAAAATGTAAACAAAAAAAAGCAACAGAAGAACCTGCCTACGGTCCATTCCTGCCGGTCATCTGAGGCTCATGCATGGCTTCTATAAGAGGGCTGATTTCCCCAGGACACACTGCTCTATCCATGCTAGCCAGACCATGAGGAAGAGAAGCTGCCTTTCCCAGGTCTCTTGAGGCAGAGCTGAAATTGTTCCAGAGGGAAAATAACTGAGAAACGGACTAAAATCTTTGTTCTGTGTGTCAGTTAAAAGGAGCCGTTTGTTTCTGAACGGAAGGCCCAGTGAGGCCCCTGGGAGTGCTAGGCTGGTCACTCAAATGTCAGTGCCTCTGCCTTTCAGATACCCCCACAATGCATCAGTTTCTCCTCCAGGCTGGAATTTACAGAAGTGGGATACACTCTTTGAGGTCCCCCACATAAAACACCCACAACCAAAATCAAGTGCTCTCTCCTCTCCCACCCACCCCTTAGGTAACTGAATCCAAATTTTGCTTTCTGTTTTACACCAAGCCTGACATGAAGGGCAGGCAGCTGTTAATGCTTCCAAAACCAAATCATTAATAAACAGAAGAAAGGGAGGGTTGATACTGTTGTCCAGGCCAATGTATTCCCTGGTTTGCTCCCAATACACAGCTGTCTCCCTTGGCGCTGGCCAGTTGTGTGATGTTATGATAGGTGAGAGGTTGCCGCTGAAGGTTCAGTACAGGTGTCTCCGGTTTCTTCCCCAGACTAGTTCTCAGGCTTTGCAGAATGTGCTTTCCATGCTTCTTGTGTTTCCAGCACTGATTTGATTTTTTTTTTTTAATCAAAGGAAACAAATGGACGAAGGGAAGTAAAGAGAGGAAGTAAACTGTGGGAAAATGGCACTCTGCAGCTGAAAGATCTTTCTCTGCTCAGCTGGAAATTCACACTGTTTTGTCTGCCATAGTGAAGATGATTGGTGATGGTAAAAAGTGCTGTTATAGCAAGTCTTGAGAGAGAATGAGGTTAGAATACATCTGCAGGATCTCACAACAAAATGCTGATTAAAAAATAAACCAAAACCCCATAAATTAACCCCCATTATCACATTCCTGGGGGAATGTATTGATTCAGAAGACCCTGGATGTAAGCACCTTGGTACCAAATTTCTCCAGGAACATGTCCACTTTCTGATTAAAAGTGACCCAGCTGGTTATACTGAATGCCATTTGTTCATAGGTTACCTTTTAGCAAGGTTTCTCTTATGCTTCTTCATTTGATAAAACTGATTGGTTTGTTTCTCTTTATCTATTCTCCAACATTTAGGGCCATGAGGCCTGGTCCCTTGGGAGAGCAGCAGTAGATTCTGATGTGTCCATCATGCTATTTATGTAAGACTCACAAGGATGTGTCTCTCATTTGCTTGCTTTTTAACTTTTTTGCAACAAATTATTGTCTCTCTTGATATATAGTCCACTCTTTACAGTAAAAAGTGTTAAAATGTAAAAAAAAATAAAAATAAATATCAATGTTACAGTAGCTAGATTATTCAATAAAATACATCCCTGCCATTCTTGATTGAAATGCTCAGTGAGAATTAATTTCATTTGGACATTTTTCCAGAGATTCAAGTTATTGCAGATCATTTCTGGGATGGGAAGGAGAATCAGTTTCTCTTCCTGTCAAAGTATGAGGGGGTGGGGGAAATGAAGGGAGTCTTGGGGAATCCAAATGCCAGTATCAGGAGGGCTTTCGTGGGGAATTTGTCATTACCAAGTAGCAGAACTGCAGGGCTTATTGGTCCTGACGGTTGCATCAGAACACTCCCCCTCGGAAGAGTCACAATCCGATTCTCCAAACTGTGCCTGGTTCTGCAAGGCAAAAGGACAGGGAAACTCTTTTAGTGATTTCCTTGCACTGCAGAGTGACTGCACTGGCAGGATCAGCAGCTGATTGGTGGAGGAGCAGGAGATAGGGAAAGGTCCCCATCAGTGAGTCTATCACTTCCTGTCTTCTGGCAGCCAGCAGGGGGCATTGCGGATCCACGGAAGGTCACCTTTGATCCCCAACACATAGCCACAGAAACCTGCTGGCTAGAGTGTGTAACTGGTGGAACAGGGAAAGGGAAAGCAAGGACCTTCCCCCACACACATGCCCACTGTCCTACTTACATAGAACTGGAAGGGGAGCAGCAGATAGGCCTATCTAATGCAAAATTCCTAAAACCATAGAAGTTAGGGGAAGAGGGAAGGCAGAGTAAGAAAGATGGGAGAACACAGGCACACAGGAAATGCCATATCTAGTCAGACCAATATCCTGTCTCCAACAGTGAACACACCAGTTGCTTTAGCGGAAGGTGCAAGAAACCCCCTAGTGGAGAATGGGGAATAACTTGCCCTAGAGGAAGTTATTCAAACTCCTTAGGCTGCCGTATGACCAAAATAGGAGGGTTTATATTAGGGCTGTCAATTAATCACAGTTAACAGCCGTGATTAACTCAAAAAAATTAATCACGATTAATCGCAGTTTTAATCACACTGTTAAACAATAGAATACCAATTGAAATTTATTAAATATTTTGGATGTTTTTCTACCTTTTCATGTATATTGTATTCCGTGTTGTAATTGAAATCAAAGTGTACAGTGACTCCTCACTTAAAGTCATCCCGATTAACGTTGTTACGTTGCTGATCAATTAGAGAACATGCTCGTTGAAAGTTGCGCAATGCTCCCTTATAACGTCATTTGGCAGCCGCCCACTTTGTCCACTGTTTGCAAAAAGAGCAGCCCGTTGTAGCTAGCTGGTGGGGGCTTGGAACCAGGGTGGACCGGCAGTCCTCCATCAGCTCCCTGTTCCCCTAAGTTCCCTGTGCAGCAGCCACCCAGCAGGCTATCAATTGCCAGCAGTTCAGCTGTTCCTTCCCCCACTGCCATGTGCTGCTCCTGCCCTCTGCCTTGGAGCTGCTCCCCAGAGCTTCCTGCTTGCTGTACTGGGGGAGGGGGAGAAGTGGGGGGCTAATGTCAGGGTGTCCCCCTCCCCCTGCTCCTGCACCCCACTTACACCATCTTCCATAGAGCAGGGAGGACACACAAGAGGCTCAGGATGGAGGGAGCTTCCTGGAAGCATCTGCCCTCTCAGCTTGCTGATCTACTTAACAAGGCAATGTATTTAGAATGGGGTCAGCATACTTAAAGGGGCAATGCGCATCTCTCTCCCCCCCACACACGGTATGTCTCTCTGTCTCTGCCTGCCATGCTGTCTCCCCTCCTTCCATTCGTGCCTCCCTGTAGAGTGTGAGTTAACCCTTGAGGGCTCAGCCAATTGCTAGTTCATCATTTAGCAGTGAGGCATTCCCTGGGAAATATCCCACCCTCTGACTTCACCACCTCAACCAAGCTTCACAATCATATGAAAGGGGTCACCAGTACAAAAGTGAGAACCACTGCTTTAACTCAGCTGGCACATAAACAGCTTGTGACGCTGGATACAACACTGCCATGAGAGCGCCTGTTCTCACTTTCAGGTTACACACACACACACAGATAGAGAGAGAGATATAATATAGTCTTTTGTCTGGTGAAAAACATTTCCCTGGAACCTAACCCCCCCATTTACTTTAATTCTTATGGGGAAATTGGATTCAATTAACATTGTTTCACTTAAAGTGGCATTTTTCAGGAACATAACTACAATGTTAAGTGAGGAGTTACTGTATATTATTTTTGATTACAAATATTTGCACTGTAAAAATTATAAACAAAAGAAATGGTATTTTTCAATTCACCTCATACAAGTACTGTAGCGCAATCTCTTTGTCGTCAAAGTGAAACTTACAAATGTAGATTTTTTTTTTAACATAACTGCACTCAAAAACAAAACAATGTAAAACTTCAGAGCCTAAAAGTCCACTCAGTCCTACTTCTTGTTCAGCCAATTGCTAAGAAAAACAAGTTTGTTTACATTTACAGGGGATAATGCTGCCCTCTTTTTATTTACAAAGTCATCAGAAAGGGAGAACAGGTATTTGCATGGCACTTTTGTAGCCGGCATTGCAAGGTATTTACGTGCCAGATATGCTAAACATTTGTATGCCCCTTCATGCTTCAGCCACCATTCCATAGGACATGCTTCCATGCTGATGACACTCGTTAAAAAAAATAATTTGTTAATTAAATTTGTTCCTTGGGGAAGAATTGTATGTATCCTGCTGTTTTACCTGCATTCTGCCATATATTTCATGTTATAGCAGTCTCGGATGATGACCCAGCACATATTGTTCATTTTAAGAAAACTTTCACTGCAAATTTGACAAAACGTAAAGAAGGTACCAATGTGAGATTTCTAAAGATAGCTACAGAACTCAAACCAAGGTTTAAGAATCTGAAGTGCCTTCCAAAATCTGAGAGAGAAGAGGTATGGAGGCCGCTTTCAGAAGTCTTAAAAGAGCAACCCTCCAATGCGGAAACTACAGAACCCGAACCACCAAAAAAGAAAATCAACCTTCTGCTGGTGGCATCTGACTCAGATAATGAAAATTAACAAGCGTCTGTCAACACACCTTTGGACTGTTATCGAGCAAAACTCATCATCAGCATGGACGCATGTCCCCTGGGATGGTAACTGAATCATGAAGGGACATATGAATCTTTAGCCTGGGGGTTCTTAAACTGGGGGTCAGGACTCCTCAGAGGGTCGTGAGGTTATTACATAGGGGGGTCAAGAGCGGTCAGCTTCCACCCCAAGCCCCGCTTTGCCTCCAGCATTTATAATGTTGTTAAATATATAAAAAAATGTTTTTAATTTATAAGGGGCTCACACTCAGAGGCTTGCTATATGAAAGGGGTCACCAGTACAAAAGTGAGAACCACTGCTTTAACTCAGCTGGCACATAAACAGCTTGTGACGCTGGATACAACACTGCCATGAGAGCGCCTGTTCTCACTTTCAGGTTACATTGTAAACAAGGGGAAGGCAGCATTATCTCCTGTAAATGTAAACAAACAAGTTTGTTTGTCTGTGTGATTGGCTGAAAAAGAAGTAGGACTGAGTGGACTTGCAGGTTCTAAAATGTTACCTTTTTTTATTTTTTAATGCATTTTTTTGGTACATAATTCTTCATTTGTAAGTTGCACTTTCATGATAAAGAGATTGCATAACAGTACTTGTACTAGGTGAATTGAAAAATACTATTTTTGTTTTTTTACAGTGCAAATACTTGTAATCAAAAATAAATATAAAGTGAGCACTGTACACTTTGTATTCTGTGTTGTAATTGAAATCAATATATTTGAAAATGTAGAAAATATCCAAAAATGTTTATATAAATGGTATTCTATTATTAACAGTGCGATTAATCGTGCGATTAATTTTTTTAATCGCTTGATAGCCCTAGTTTATATCCCTTCCATTTTATTATTTAAATTCCGATTTTTCATCCTATCTAATGTAACTGTGGATGCCTCATTAGTCATATAAATCGTCTCTCTTCTTCTGAAGCCTATTAAGCTCCTGGCCTCAACAATATCTAGTAGCAATGAGTTCCACATGCTAATTGTGTCTTGTGTAACTTTTATCAGTTATACATTTGCTGCCTTTCAATTTCCAGGGTGAAGAGAAGTGCCCAATCTACCCTTTCTCTCTGCAGTACCTCTCTCATGGTCCCTTTCTGTGTAGTCCCAGGCTTTTGCCTCTCTAGTCATACGGATTTCTTGTCTGGCTTCTAGTTATTTTCACCATCTGACAGAAGAGGAAGGGGAGTACTGAAGGCCCCACTCACCTCACAGCTGTGTTCATCTGCACAGAGCTTGCCCAATGACATCTGTGTCTTCACCCTGCGCACGGCGCACTCTTTGTCCGAAAGACCATCAGACTGAGTGGAGATCTCGATGGGGATTTCCGGAGTCTGGGACAGCATGTCCTCCAGCTTCTCAGTCAGCTGGTCTTCCAGCCTGTTGGTCAGCTCATCTGGGCTGTTTGAGTGGTCGCTGGTGTTCCCCTCCTCTCCATCGGACACAGAGAAGTTCTCAGAGCTGAAGGTTGAGTAGGACTGGCAGCTACTAATGCAGCGGTGAGGCCTGCAAGCCCAGGAGAACAGCTTAGCTTCACTTTGCTCAATCCCTCTATTGCAGTGTTTCTGTTTATACTGGTAAATCACTTCCCCCACTCCACATTATTGGCCGGGCTGCTCCACTTCATACCCAAAGGAGCTTGGCCCTGACAAGCTAACCCACTTACGCTGAACACTCTGTGGGAGCCTGCGTTAGGATGGCCTCCAATTGCCCCTCAGTTGCCACCTTTTTGATAGTTCCAGTCCCATCCTCTACTTTTGTAAAGTTCACTAGGCAGGGCAAGGGGGCCAGCAAATAATACTTCTGAAGCTGGAGCCAGGTCGCTGATGGTAAATATTTCAACCCTGCCTGGGGAAAACCCCTTCTGACTAGCTCCTTTCCCCAACTCCAGAGGTGTAAGCAGCCAATCAGAGCTGCTCTCCCCACCCCTCAGGAGCTGAAACCATTCTTACAAAATGGGAGGGGAAGAGGGAGCAGAAAGAGCCCAGGGTGGCTCCCTAACCCCTGGGAACAATGGGATAGCTCCTCTGTACCTCCTCCCCACAGCACCCAACCTGAAAGGGACAGTGGGGATCCTGCTGAGCCCTGCCCCAGGCCTTGGAGAGGGGTGAGAAACCCCAGGAGCTGCAGGAAAAGCAGAGTTAAGGTTGGAGGAGGAGAACAGATGGGGGACTGGAGGAGGAAGAATTGATGAGGGGTGGAGGGGCTGCCAGATGTGATGTCACCTTCATTTCTGTACAAAATGATAGAGCTCCCCACATTTTCAATCTGCTCTATGCATCGGTAACAGGCTAACCATACGTTGCTGGCCCCAAGTATTATTATTATTCAAAACAAAGCAACATTAAAACAGAGCAAAACAAGTTGCTAAGATTGCAGGCACACAGCCATGGTTTGAGACAAAAAGTATTAGGAAAATGTTTAAAAGTGAATGACATGATCTGAATGTTCAAAACCTGAACTTGAAGCTTGTTTTCTGATTTTTACAAAATTCCCAGAAGAGCTCTTGCTAGGGCTGAGAAGTGGCATGCTAAATTTTATAGGGAATGGTCTCTTTACAGAGAACTTGACAAGGAAAACTTGGAGGGGGCATGAAGGGCTCTGTGATGGGGTGTCTACCCTGCACAAGGCAGAGCAAGTTAGATTAGGTTAATTAACCTGATTGGATGCACCCGAGGGAGAGCCAAGGCTTGAAAGGCTAATTGATGATGGAGCCCATCTGAGAAGGAACAAGCAGGGCTGGTATAAAGCCAGGAAGTTGGCAGCAGAAGAGGGCTGCAGGGGAAGTAGTCTGCAGTCACTCTCTGGAAGAAGGGAGTTTGGGTTCGTAAAACCGGGTGTGGGGAAGGGTGCGAGAAGATGCAGGAAGAAGTCCAGGGAAATAGCAGCGGGGTCTGGGAGCAAGCAGACCACAGATGCTAGACACAGGATCCCTGGACTGGAACCCAGAGTATAGGGTGGGCCCAGGTTCCCCTATAAGCCACTGTGGAAGTGGCCCAGACCGGGCAGTGGAGCAGAAGAATGCCTGGGGCTGTTGTCCAGTGGGATTTTGCTACCCTGGAAAGGAATGACTATAGTGACCTGGCCAGAGGACCAAGCCACAAAGAGAGAGAGCACCCTGAGTCATAGAGAGGGAGGATGCATGGCACCTGAACAACAGAAGGGGACGTTGGACCTGGAAGGAGCTAATGCCCAAAGCAGCCAAAAGGAGGCACCTTAGCAGTGATTGTATCCCATGAGAGGCTTATAAAGTGAAGCTAGCTTTAACCTTAATTATGGCACTGTGGGGCCCTGATCCTTGACTGGGGCTCCTAGGTACTACTACAATAGATATTATAATAAATCTGAAGCACTAGAATACTTTCCATATATCTCATAACGGTACAACTGCTCAAGCACTACAGCACAATGACTGAACATGTCCTCGCCCCTTTCCCACCTTCCTGCTTCTGCATTAACAATGTGTAGTTTTCAGCACGCTCCTGTATTGGGAAAATCACAGCTACTCGCTCTGGCAGATCCCCTCTTCAGAGCCTCTTTGATCATATGTTCCACTGCCCCTCTCCTCAACAAAGCATGCCCAGGGGCAGCACAGTGCACTGCTCAGCTTACCTCCCCCATTGTGACTGAATCGCTGCACTATCCCAGCAGATGCCTCTCCATGCGGTCTAGGCAGCACTATCTGGCTGATGTCCCTGCATGCTGAGTCAAGTACTTCTGAAAATCCCCTGGGCAATGAGTGGGCATTAGATGGCCACTGACCCCGTATAAACATCCTATCTGATGCCCCTCCACACAAAAAGAGGGTACTTTCTAGGTGGCAATGGTTCACGATTAATCAGGAAAGCAGGCGATGTCCCCTGGTGCTGAGTGAATGCACTGCACAGCAGATTTCATTCCACATGCTGAGAAATGCCACTAGCCATTTAAGTCACCTAATTTACACAAAGGTTCCCATTCTCTATTTGCTCCAGCTGGCTGGGAAGAAATGATGCTGAATTTTGCATGACAATTGATGGTGGTTTTATGAACACTTGCCCGCACCTTTTATTGCAGGATTAATCCGAAGGAATATGGAGTCTGTCCCAGGAGAAGAGCTTTTAATACTTCACACCTGGCAGTGGCAAACAGCTTCAAAAGGTGGTACAGGGCCAGATTCTATACTCTCTGAGCCACTCGGTCCAGATTTTACTACACTGTCCACAAATGTGAATCCTTCAAATCCCCTTTCCATCCTACTTTGCAATATTTTGTTAGACATAGATGCACCTTTGTTACCCCACTCTGGAACATTTATTCCTACCTCTCTTTTCCTTACGGAGAAGATGTGTTGTGGGGAGCACGCTCTAATTCACACACAGATCTCTGTTGCAATCACAGGACACCCATAGCACAGCTGATACATGGGTAGAGGAGGGTGCTTTTAGTATTGACACGCTCCTTTTCCACTTTTACTCATGTGAAAATCCTTTCAAGACAAGCTTCAGCAATTTCTAACACTATGAAAGTCATGGGGAACACCCATAATCTTTTACTAAAATGTCTGGACAATGGAGGAGCCCCTGCCTAGAGCAGCCAAAGCCAGCAGACCGATTCCTCCAATAGGAGGAAAGTGGGGAGAAGATGGAGATCTTGGAGGTGGAGTGGAATCTGGGTGATGGGTCCTGGGGAGGAACCAAGGGGCTGAGTAGAGAAATTCAGTATAAACTGTGTGAGCCAAATTACTGTAGTTGAGACCCAAACTAAAGGGCTGTAGTTGGATGTAGCTAATGCTCTTCAAAATGTTTCGCTCGACTCCCCTCCTCAGTCCCTGGGCTCCTCTCCAGGATCCCTGCCTTCAATTACCCAAGCCCCACTTTCTCAAAGGGGGTCATGACCCCTGTCTTATGGGGAGGATGTGACCCTGTTTCAGATAACCAGGCTTTTGATGAAGTGACGTCTGTGTAATCAAGGCTGCACTGTTCTAGCCCAGATGCTGGAGTCATTCCCTTGCCCTCTGCAGCAACAAATCTGATAAACTTTTGAAAGATGCTGTCGAGGGTGCCAGACCCTGGCAGTTTCAAGCTTAATGGGAGATACCAGCCTGGATAGCAGTAGCCTCTTGTACTGGTCACACATGGTGAGGTTCCTGCCCAAACAAGCCCATGATGCAGAGGAGCTATACTGGAGAGGCCTGCTACTTGCAGGGGGCTGAAAACAGCCCAGCACAGCATGAGGCATCACAGAGGGGACACTCATGTGACTGAGCTTGTAGTTAGTTGGACTGGAGTTCTTGCCATAGTTTATGGTGCTGATGGTCACCACAGGATTGGCCAGGCCCTTGACAGAGTATCACTACAGGGTTGGATACATTTCATGCTGGAACTTGGGCAATGATTTCGCTGGGACCTATCATGCTGAGGCAGAAGGCTCAGAATTCCCAGCGCAATGCCATGATGTTAAGTTATATGAAACTGAGCCAGATCAAAAAAGATTTCTGCCTACCACTCAAGGAAGGAATGGCAGGGTTTAGCTATTTACCTCTGTCTCCGTGGGAACTCCACTTCACTGTCCACTTCTCCTTCTTCCTGTTCTGAAGAGTCGTCACCACTCTGGCAGGGGGAAAGAGAACTATGTTACTGGACTGATGTAAAACAATCATACAGCTACCTAGCTGCCACTTGGTTCTCTGGTACAAAGCCACTGCACCAAAAGGTTTCAGAGTGTTTAAAGTCAGAAGGACCCTTAGATCATCTACTTTGATCTCCTGTATATCGGAGGCCATTAATTCACACCCAGTTACCATCATATGGAGCCCAGTATCTTGGTAGACTAAACATTTCAGTCCTCAAGAGACTAAGCTGCTGTGTGTCACAGGCAGAGAACAGGGGGACTGAGGCGCCACCAATGACATATGCTAAGATGATCCCAGCAGATGAACCAATCCCTCACGCTACAGAGGAAGGTGAAAACCTCCAAAGGTCCCAGCCAATCTAACCTGCAGAAAAATTCCATCCTGACCTCTAATCTGGTGATCACTTAGATCCAGAGTACATGAGCAAAGCCACACCAGCCAGGCATCTAAAATACAGGATTCTCTGTACCACATCAGATCATTTGGTCCACCCCATCTGGTGTCCCTGCTGCTTCAAAGGAAGACAAAAAAACCCTAACCCTCAAAATACATCTAGCTAATTACGCATCAGAGGAAAAAGTCCTCCCTGAGCCCTGCAGGGGAACAGCTGAAGCCATGAGGCATGAGATTAAATTATATTCATTGTCATAATGCAGAGCTGCAAGTGTTCGGAGAATGCTGAAGGCAGTTCAGAGAATCTGTTCTCTCCATGGCCCATGAAAGAAGGGAATGAACTACAGCATTCCAAACAAATAAGGAGTCAAAAACTTCTGCAAGCTAAAAGCTATGAAAAGCAGAATGGTGCAGGAAACTCTGAGATGTGGCAAATGTTTCACACTGGACGGACAGAGACGTTTGACTGCTGATCAATGTAACAAGAAATCCAGCCAATCGGGTCTTAGAGTCATCATGCACGAATATTACAAAGGTCTGAGTTAAAATAGCCAGGGCAACTTCTGAGATACTGGAATATCCCAGCAATATTCCTGAAATGGGACATTAACAAAGTTTAGATCTTGTCTTCAAAGGGACACTGACTGGCAGTATAATTATACTGCTATATTCTATGTTGGTATTACTCCCATATGGATACTCTATTCCAGAAGAAAAGTGACTTGGTCCTTGCATAATTACTCTGCTTTGTGTTTTGCAGTGGGGTAATTTTTCTGGAACAAAGTCACTTTTTTTTTCCAGAACAGTGTCCACATGGGGAATTATACCAACATAGCTACTACAGCAGTAGAATTCTGCCACTAGAGTTTTGCCAATCAATTTCCCTGCATAGACAAGCCAGAGACTGGCACAGTTTTACAGTCCTTCAAGTGACAAGATGACCAAAGATACAGAATTCAGCAGGGACCAAATAATGTGCTTTATTGTAGAATTATTAGTACCTAGTTTTGAAATATTCTTTGACAGCCACAAGATCACACCTGAAAGAAAATGATTCCAATTCTCTGTTTCTAAAATTATATCATTAGGGAGAGATGTACAGTACTTTGGAGTGATAATATTACATAACAAAAATACTGAAAGAAAGCTTATAGAAATGAGGTGGCATGAAACACAGCACTGGATTCTGGGGACATCCCAAAGGTTTATCATGATATTAGAAGCAGCAGAGTATAACCAGAAGAAATAAAACAAGTAGAATTAGAGTAATAAGGATACTGTCACATAGTCCCCATAACTCTCCGAACAAGCTAGCTGACTCTAGTCAATAATGCACAGAAGCAGGGGAGGTATCTGAGAAAATTAAAAGTGAGAGTACACCAGAGTCTGAAGGAAGTAAAAAGGCAACTGTGACAGAATTGGAACTGTTCATTAATCATCATGAATATTGGATGTTGACCGGGTTATGGGGAATTTTACTGTATAGTTTTAGTTTAATACGGGGCTATTGGGAAAACAAGCAGAAAAGAACAGCTGAAGATAAGCCACTCCTCCGCAAACATTTGAGGGTTGTTAAGAGACACTACCAGGAGAGGAAAAAGACTGAGATATGGAATATCAAAAGGACTATAACAGTTTAAAAAGAACACTCTCTCACAAGCTGTTGTTGTGCAGAGGAACAAAACTATGCCCATGTCTACATTACCGCTTATGTCAGCAAAATTTATGTCAATCAGGGGTGTGAAGAAAACACCCCCCGAGCGACATAAGTTGCACCTACAGAAGCGCCCGTGTGCACAGCGCTATGTTGGTGGGAGAGCTTCTCCCACTGACATAGCCACCGCCACTTGAGGTGGTTTTATTGTGTCAACGGGAGACCTCTCTTCCCGTCGGCTTAACATGGCTACACGAGCGCTCTTACAGTGGCACACTGCATTGATACAGCTGTGCCACTGTAAGCTCACTAGTGTAGACATGGCTAAAGAGGCAGGTACCCATTGGAGGTGTTTGAAGAAGCTGGGCCTGCCTAGGCTACCATCACCCCTCTCCCCAGGCTTCATACAAATACCCTTTGTATTTCTCCTCCAATGTAGCTTGTCCTTTTCCGTGGTGACCCTCTCTTCTTATATCTTCTTTTCTATCTCTTGAAAAATTGATTCTTTTGTTTATTAACTTACACACAAAAAACTACATTAAAAAGAACATTATTAAGGTTGCAAAGTCAAGCACTGAAAAGTTAGGAAATGCGAGGCTGCCTGCATAACGTTAATTTGCCTCCCTTGTGTATATGCATTATGATACATTCTTTAATTATACGACTGCCTTAACCATGACACCATCCTTTCTCTTTCTGCAATCCCCTGCCTTGTTCACTAAACACCTTCCAACTTCCATAACAAATGAGACAGGGCCCTATAGAAAAAAGCAACAATGATTCATCCCCAGAGCAATGATTCATCCTGTGTACTGACTGAGGCAGGGGTCCTGTGGAAAAAAATAGCATGTGATCATGTAATTAAAGACTGTCTCATAATGCATACACACAGGAAGGTTGATTTAAGGTTGCACAGGCAATCTGAATTCTGGCATTTCCAAACTGTGGAATGCTTGACTTTGCAACCTTAATAATGTTATTTTAACGTAGTTTTGTGTGTGTAATTTTCTAGGGTTTTTTTAAAAAGCAAACTGGAAAAAAAAATCCATCATGGGGAAGCATAGCGCCAACCACATGGGCCATCAGTAAGGTTGGAAGCTTTAGATCCATTGTACTAACCTCTTCCACTTTAGCTAACAAAGTAACTGATAACAGTAGTAGGTTGTCGTCCTCAATATGGACCAGTCACAAGAGGGAAATGAGACATACATTTTGTCAGTGGGTTTCATAGCTATTTGTTGCCAGTACAGGAAATGTTGCGACTCAGGAATCCTCCACTCTATTCCAGGTTCTAAATGGAGTGCACTTCAGTGTTGAGACCCTTCGGGTCCTATTCCCCCAAAGTCTGACATATTCTGTGCCCGGCCCCACCAACCTATGCTTGTCCCAGTACCAGTCTTCACCCCATCTCACTTCACCTTCACGACCCAGTCCCATTTCAATCCCCTTTGCCCTGGTTCCAGTCCCCACCCTTGTCCCAGTCTCTCCTCTGGCCACCTCCCCAAGCCCAGCTCCTTTGTTCTCTGCATTCCAGCCAGGCTGGTTCCCACATCTCCTCCTTGTTGAGTGCCAGCAGGGGAAGTATTGAGAGCACAGAAGACTATATCCCTTCTCTCAGGTCTTGTTCCTGGCACCAAAGCACTCCCAGGCTGCAAAGAAGAGCAATTGCAGGGAAAGTCCTTCAGATCCAGGCTGGAGCATGCTCAGTGCTAACAGAATCTTTGGGGTATTTAGCTGCCAAAGCCTCTATTGAGCATGAACAAATCACAAGTTTTGGAATCTTATAACTTGGGTAAATTTAGACAATCTCACAGGAATTCCAAAAGGCATTTTGCTGACACTAGTGCAACATCTGTGGCAAATTTGGAGCTCCTGCTCCAAAGCATAGAGGAACTAAAAGGTTCTCAAAGAAATGGTTGTTAAGAATTTTTTTTTAACATGGGCAAAACAATATAATTTTCCCTGACTCTGTTCTGAGAAATGGCTGGACCATTTTTTCTGATTTTTTTTTTCTTTAAAAAAAAAAAAACTTTAGTCAGACACTTGGCCTCGTAAGTTTCAGTCCAAACAGTTACTGTTTGGCAAAGTTATAGGTAACTGAAAAGAGTCTTATAATGGGAAGTGTTAGGCCACATTAACCATATGCAGTTCTACTACCTCCACCTATAATCTTCCCAATAAAAACTACTTTAAAAAGGATGTCAAGGTTGCAAAACAAAGTACACAAATTAAAATTAAAGTTGCATGCACAACCTTAACTCTGCCCCTTTGTGTATGAATTGCTATACAAAGGTTTTTTACATAGTCAGATACTATCTCTCAAACAATACTATACCACATTGTACAGTTTTTTTCTGGAAAATTGTAAACATTAGACTATTGTTATTTTAAAGACTACTTTCCTGTCTTTACCTTTTGAATAGGTCTCGGTTTGCAAGGTAGCACTGGGGCAGCCTGGTGTTGAGGGGTGCCTAGCAAGGACACTGACTTGCAGCTGTTGAGGTCTTCCTCCTTCATCTTTTCAGGAAGCTGGGCCTTTTCATACAAGGGACCACATGTTGTTGATTCAGGGTGGTTCATCCCTGGTTCAATGGACGGCATCTGTTTCTGACCACTGTTCACCTGCCTGGACTGAGGACAGGGGTTGTGTGGGTCTGCTTTACAACACTGCCAGTGATCAACCTTGTGTTCCTCATTCTCCAAATTCCTCCGACAATCTGCTTCCATAGCAGTAGAGATGAGATCGGGGCTGGAGCCGGACATGCGCCTTTGGGCATGGTTACTGAGAGGGCTCCGCAGGGCTGCTGCAGGGCCAAAGTACCTCAGGTTGTTCGCACAGTTCGCGATGTCTTGCCCCTGGATGTTTAGCCTGGGGTGATGGCCATGGTAATGGGGGTGGCTATGCTGCTGGTGCTGCTGTAGGCTGGGAAGATGAGAATGAGGATGATGATGATAATGAGGTGGCTGTGGTGAGTTGTCGTGTGCTGGCTGATTTTTCAAGATCCCTGCAAATTCATTATAGCTGCCTTTGCTGTTCCCTCGTCGGTGACGTGGTTTGCAGCGGTATCGGCCTTTGTTACTGAGTGTTGACATTTTGGGACTTCCTGAGACTGGTGAGCCATTGGGTGCCACCTCCGCACTGGATATGCCCTCTGATTTCAGCAGGTCTGGCCTGGGAGACAGGTGAAAACAGGATTTAACTTTGAAGGTAGAACTAACCCATGGCATCAGTCTGGGACCAGTGACTCAGTCAGCAGGAGTAAGCACAAGCAGCTGCACCAGACCCTGCTCTCTACAGTCTATGGACATTCTTTCCCTTCTGCTGATTGGCTGTTGGCTCCAACTCCCTTCCCTCTATCCCCACTCATGGTCCCTTCACTTCTGCTTCTCTCCTACCACCCTCCCTGGTCCCTGTGACCGATATCACAATCACATGCTGTATCTTTGGCAGAACATACTGTGTTAAGTTTACGTATCACTGTGGGCCAGGGATGGTTCATATGATTGTGTTCTACTGATGCAGGAGCATTACCACAGCACCTCCAGGAACTAAAACAGCATGGGGTGATTAAGGGGAATCACTCACGACTGTAAACATCTGCAGAGAGGTACCACCCATTGGGAGGCTTCCATATACTGGTTCAAGCTGCGTTTTCCAGAGATCAACAGACCAAAAAAGGGCTTTGGGCATAAAAAAGCTGTGTTTAAACTGACTCAGGGCCCTCTTTCTGATCCAGCAGGACCTTATGTCCGAGGTCCCCAATCCTTGTTGAAGGATTGGAAATATTTTGGCCTACTAGTGCCTCCTATGATTGATGGGGGATTCCGGGTATGTTTAGCATCCCTACTGGAACATTTATTGTTTTAATATTTTCTCTGTAATGCCTTTCCCTTAAGAATAAATGTGCTTGATTAGAAAGAGCTGTGCGGTAATTTGTAACTGCTGGCAATACACTGGCTCTTGGAGAGAAAGCAATGCACAGGCACTGGACTTCATGCAGACTGGCTTGCTGGGGATATCACTGTGTAAGGCAGGGAGCTGTGCAGTCTTAAAATGCTTAGTCAGGAGGAAGAGAGACTCAGGTCTGCGTCCAAGAAAGGTGACAGCTAGGAGCTGGAAACCTTAGGCAGGTGCCCTTGAAGGAGCACAGGAGCAATTACCCAGAAACGGTGACAGTCCCCTCCTACCTTTCTCTACTCCCCATCCCTCCTCCCTCTTTGTCCCCTCCACAGCACTTTGTCTTTCCATTTAGTTAATCCTAATACAGCCTCTTTTGTTTTTAAATTAAAAACCCCACTAACTTCCCACCAATAAAGCATGACACTAACACATCTGCTTGTATGTTCTATCCCCTTCCCACACCCTTTGTCTTGTCTATTTAGCTTGTAAGCCTTGGGGCAGGGACTGTATCTTTTGACATGTCTGAGCAGGGCCCAGCACAATGGGGTCTCCAGGTGGCACAAGACAAACAATAACAGCGACCAGTTCATTTCAGCTACACAAGAATAAACATCAATCATTGATTGTTAATCAGTGTGTAGAGTCCCAACCACCGAGGAATACAAAACTAGGGAAAACGGCTGAAAATCTGTCTGCATGAGAGTTGCCTGAGGTCACGCAGGGACTGTGGGGCTGAGCTAGGTGCCTCAGCAACAAGGCTATACTTCCAGATGACTTGGATCCTGTTTCTGGCCACTCTCCACATTCCCTCCTGCATTAGCGTCAGGGCCAGTGATGAGCCGGCATTAAATTTGCTCAGACTAGAAGATATTTGTTTCTCCCTGCCAACCCTGCAAACTCCAGGGGGTTCTGAGTGTCATGCTGGGTTCTTTCTGGCTCCTGTATCACCACCAATAAAAAGATTCTGTGGACCCAATGTTTCAACAGGGTTGCCCACGTGTAACTGAGGGCAGAATTTGTCCCTACAACATGAACTTAATTAACAACTGTGTTGATGGTGTGGCAGTCAGACTAGAGTTCAGCTTACTCACTCCTAGCTGCGCTGGTTCTGCTTTGCTAGCAGGACTCAAAGGACAGAAACCCACTTGGCATTGAAGCAAGCAGGCATATTACAGAACACACAGAGGAAACAGATCTGTTGTGCAAGAATCAGCCATTTTCACCCAGTCACATTTCCAAGACAAACTACACTGTCACTCTCTTGTGTAGGACTTGCTTCCCTGGCTAGGATTTTGTTTTGTGCAGAAGTTTCCTACCGTTTCGTCTGGCTCCCTGGCTTATGAGAGACCCCCTTCCTCTTCATCAGCTTCTCTACCGCAATGGGGTGGATTATTGGTCTGACTGGATGACGCTTGTAAGTCCCAGGATATTTCTTTTCCACAGCTTGTTCCCGTCTGAAATACGGAACAAAGAATAAATCCCTAGTTGCCTCTCTGTAAAATGGAAGTTACTGCTGGATGCAGTGGCTGATTAGCCACTAGGCCAACGGAGCCTGTGCCCAGGGGCCCCAGCCAATTGGGTTGGGGCGTAGGGGCTTGCCCTGCTCTGCCCGCCCCTCTTGTGGTGGAACAAGGCAAGCCCCCACATCCCAATCCCACTCCCCAGCAGGAGCGCCAGATGGGTGGAGCAGGACAAGCCTCTGCACCCCAACCCTACTCTCCGGCAGGAGCGCCAGGCAGGGGGAGCAGGGCAAGCCCCGACCCCACTCCTCGGCAGGAGTGCTGGGCAGGCGGGCGAAGCGGGGCAAGCCCCTGCGCCCTGACCCTGCTTCTCGGCAGGAGCGCTGGGGTGGGGGAGTGGGGGGAATTGCTCTGGCCCAGGACCCCACAAAATTGTAATCCATCTCTGGCTTGATGGAAAAGCAGCTGTGGCATAAATGATGCTGCACACTGTGTGCTTGTTTCACGGACTGACAAGGTGTGTGGTGTGTTTTGCACTTAGAAAGGGCCTAATTATTTTCTACGTTCTTTGCAGGGAGCAGGTGTCTTATCTGTGGCCCCGGTACACAGTTTAGGGAACACTGTCTCCTCTCTTTACAGAGGGGCTGATGGAAGGGGCCATTTAACACAGTTGGTAGCAAAATATGAAAGCTCTCTTCTCTCAGTCATCAGCTGCAGGATGAAAAGGAGGATGTTTACAATAAGGAGTCTGTCATTCACCATCCGTAAAAGGAATACCCTCCAATCTGGACAATGACTTAGAGAAATCAAGCAGAGACTCAGCCGCCTTGTCCTTTACCCAGGTCTGGAAGCTTGCTGCTAGAGGCTCAATCTGAAGGCATGCAGAGTAGTTTATTTATTCCCAGTTCAGAACCATCTCCTGTATACAAGCATATGTGCATGTATGTTCCCCTCTCCCCAGATATACATACTTAATAAGCTCCTTCTCGCGGACCTCCAGCTGCAGCATGATGGCGCTGAGCTCCATGTACAAGTTATTGGCTCGCTCTAGCTTCCTCTCATAATGTTCACGGATATCTAACGCGTGCCTGTTAACAAGAAAGGAAAACTAAGGCTCAACTGGACAACCCGGGGATCGTGACCCAAGAAGGGCAGAATAAACGTGTCTTATTTGAGAATGGGGGAGGGGTAAGCCAGCAACGTTCTATGGTCTAGTTGTCACTAGGGTTTATCTCGACAGGCCAACACATGTGAAAATTACCACTTTAGCTAATGTGGCTAAACACACATCTGTTTTCCTGGTGGGGTTGCTCTTGAAGTGCATTTCTGCTTGGGAGTGTGCATTTGCAAATCAGGAGACAAGTTAGAGGTTAACATTTAGAAACAAAGGGACCTGATTAGCTCTGAGAGAGGCAGGGGGGTCATTACATCTTACTGTGGTCAGTAGCCCCAAGGGGGTAGAGAGGTGAGGGGTGAGATCCTCGACAGACCTGAGCTCTTCTCTTCGGCGACGAATTAGCTCTTCATCTAGCCGGTGTATGCAAGTTCCTTCACTCTTAATTTTCTCAAAGTGCTTCTTTACTTCTTCTCTCCATTCAGCCTGTGGGATGGCATTTTATATTCATGGTTACACAGCCTCATGATTCATGGTAGAGACAACTCTGCAGCAGAGGAGTTCATTCTTCTATTACTGGGTCATTCCCATACTCAGGCTACCATTTACGCGTGTCTCATCACCTGTCCACCAAAGAGCCTCTGTCCTGATCTGTCACTCCCCTGCAGTATGGAGCCACCTTACAGCCCATCCATCCCAGTCCTGGCCTGCAGCTCTCTTTTGCTATTCCAGCATTAGGGCTGCCCTCAGCAATGCCTAGTAGTACCACTTAGAGCCAGGCATAGTGCAAGCAGGCATCATGCAAGTTTGCACACACAGCTCTGCAATGCACTCAGTCCTGACCTGCAAAATTCCCTGTCATCCGTGTTCAGTCTATCAAGACTCTTAAACTTCACCCACCCTGCAAGTATGGAAGTGCTCTCCAGGTTCCAGCTCCCCCACAGAGACTACAAAGCACATCATATGGAAGCAAATGTCCACCTGGCATTAGGCGTCTCAAAGTCTTTTCACATGGCCCCTGAGTTAGATCTGAATTGTGCCATAAAACCGCAACATTCACTGTCCCTCAGTGAGTATGTACTGTGAGATCCCAGCTCTAAGTGGCTATTGCAGGCACTAGGGCCATCAACATTGGGTGACTGTCTGGTAAGCTAAGACTTGCATATGAGCTGTTTAGTGATCTTAAGATATGTTTTCTCTGCAATGCCTTTGTTCTGAATAAATAATACTTATGAAGCCTACAAAGGCTGGCTGGTCACTGGTTAACCCTGTCATTGCTCCCAAAAGAACAGGATGGCAGGTTCTGAACTTAAACCGGGGTGCTAAAATGATCATATTGAATTGCAGCCTAACTCCCTGCTCTAGAGGGAGAAAGTCACAGAACCTTGCCCCAAGTAAGATGATAGCTAGAGACCTAAGCCTGGTGCCTGCCTTCAAGGAGGTCACGAAGGAGTGAGAAATGCAGTTCTCTCGGGAATTATGAAATCAGGGACTGAAAGTGATGCCCACACCACTCCTGTATTCTGCCCCTGCTCCCTCACATACAGTCAAACAGGTTATGTAATGAACCCTAGATGCCAAGCGGGTTGTGTAATGAACCCTACCTAGTCTGCTTCCTGCAGAAGCTGCATAAGATCAGCAGAATAGTCCTGTTTCTCACTAAGCCCTCCCATCCTGTCACATCAGTTCCCCACAAATCAAAGCCAGGGCATGCCTGCATTTTTGCGCTGTGCAGCCCACCCAGGACCCAAGCCCCAAGGTCTCAAGCTGCTGCCAAGAGTCCCAGGAACCTCATGGACATAAGCTCTGCTGCCCATTGTAGTTCTATCTTAATGAGTGTTTGGTCACTTCCCAAGTCTATGAGGCCTGGTAGCGTGTCTACTGGCACAGTATTAACCCTCCAAAGAAGTCTCTAGCCCTCATGGCCGTAATGCATAGAATCACACTTCGTGTGCTCACTCACCATACAGGATAGAGGGGATCATCCCCGTCTGTCACCCTGTGAGCAGCTGATAGGGCCAGGGAGCTGGGACCCTGGGGATTCTGCACAGCTGTCTTTGTCTCCCTGCTCTAGGACAGTTGTGGTTTGGCTGCAGCCTGAGCTTGCTGATATTGTTCTGTCTGTCTGGTCTGCAAATGCTGTAAACTGCTATAAATGCCGGACTGCAGACCAGGCTTGCTGGCCATTTGTAAATTGCATCAAGGCCTATTGGGCTGCAGGCTGAACTTGTAGCTGCTGCAGCTATTGTTGTGCTATTCAAGACTTCTTCCACTTCTGTCTTTTGGGTAAAGGGTGTCTGGAAACACCACTTCTGGTACAAATGTCCCCACCCTGTTTTCTGAACACAACAGGTGCATACACACATGGTTTGTGTCCAAAGCATAATCCCTTCCTAGCACAAGCCTTTATTGTTAACATAAATAGTAAAACATATGCCTCAGCCTAAGATTTTTCTGAGGTTGGCTTATTATTGCATTTTCCCTTGCAAGACCCTCCTGTCCTTGCCCTAGTCCTCTCTTTCCCCCTCAGACACAAACCAACCCATTTCATCCTGGGCTGGAGTCCCACTTGGTCTGGCTTCCAGGATGAGTCAGTAATAGCTATGAGACCTCATAGCACTCCAGCTATGGACAGTCTGTATTTACCTGGGATTTGAAATAAGTCTCCTGAGGGGTGCCAAGAACATCAGCAGATGCGATGTCTAGGTGCATCAGCGTCTGTCGGAAAGAGGGACGGTTCCGGGGCTTGCTCTGCCTGAACAGAATAACAAAGTCAAGTTAAGGAGACATGCTACAGAGTTAAAATCCACACTGAAAGTGTTTTACCCACTACTGGTACAATCAACCCTATAGGTATTGTCTTCACTAGCCGGATTGGCGGGCAGTGATCGATTAAGCAGGGATCGATTTATCGTGTCTAGTCTAGACGTGATGAATCGATCCCCAAGCTCTCTCCCATCGACTCCTGTACTCCAGCTCGGTGACAGGCGCAGGCAGAGTCAAGGGGGGAGCGGCAGCAGTCGACTCACTGTAGTGAAGACACCGCGGTGAGTAGATCTAAGTACGTCGACTTCAGCTACGTTATTCACGTAGCTGAAGTTGCGTAATTAGATCAATCCACCCCCCCACCCCCCCAGTGTAGAACAGGCCTTAGATTGCTGTAGCTGGAAAAGAGCAGAGCAAAGAATTCTCTTTCCCACCCAGGGTGTTTCCTTGGAGCACTTGACAGCTTGCTGTGTGTAAGCCCTTTCACTGTTGCGCTGTAGTCAGTTTTCCCTTCTACAACAACAGGGCAGAGAGAACATTTGTAAAACAGGAAACTGTGATTGTAAAAATCACAAAAGTCAACAGGTAGCTCAAGGCAGGCAGAAAATGAATCTACTCTAACTTATTTGGTGAAACTGACTAGATTTCAGCCTGGTGTCCCTTGAGTTTCTGAATCTGTAACTGACATATTTAGAGCACCCTCCTGAAAATTACAGGTCAGTGAAGAATAGTCAGCATCACAGCATTGGTTCTTCCTCATTTTCCTAGTATACTAGCTAGGATGGATGACTGCTCCTCTTGGCTAATGTAGGAGAATCAAGGTATTCTTTAATATTCCATTCCCCTTAGGGATTCCCTGCCATTAGTGAGCCTGAAGTATGAAGACTCAGCATTAATGCCCTTCCTAAGAACAAGACCTTTAGCTCTGTAACCTGGCAAGAGGAATATATGGAGAACATGACCCACAACCATATGGGTAAAGTCCCCAGTCCAGCATGCAGCTGGATTTCCTCTATAACTAGCTCATGACCAGCCATTTTGACAGAAGCATCTAGGTCCCCAATAGAAACGTATTTCCTTGGGAAAACTTGATGTCAAACTTGCAGGTATGAGATGCAGGTCGAAAAATAGGTGGATTTGTCTGCATGTCATATAGAGAGTTTCTGTGCATATGAGGAGGTATGCAATTCTTAACTAACAAACAGCTCATAGACTGTTCTGCTCCAAGAGCTGGTAGCTGTGGAGCCAACAGATGAAAAAGAATTTGCCAGGATTGTATTAATGGATTCACAGATTCCAGGGACCATTGTGATCATCTAGTCTGACCTTCTGTATAACACAGGACACAAAATAATTCCTAAAGCATTTCTTTTAGAAAAAACATCCAATTGTGATTTAAAAATTGCTGGTGATGGAGAATCCACCACAACCCTTGGTAAATTGTTCCAATGGTTAATTACTCTCACTGTGAAAACATTTACAGCTTATTTCCAGTCTGAATTTGGCTAGCTTCAACTTCCAGCTATTGGATCATTTTATACCTTTGTCTGCTAGATTGAAGAGCCCATTATCAAATATTTGTTTCCCATTTAGGTCCTTATACACCCTGATCAAGTCACTCTCAACCTTTTTTTTGTTAAGCTAAATAGATTGAGCTCCTTGAGTCTATCACCGTAAGGCAGGTTTTTCTACTCCTTTAATCATTCTCAGGCTCTTCTCTGAACCCCTCCAATTTACCAACATCCTTTTTGAATTGTGGGCGCAAAAACTGGATGCAGGATTCCAGCAGCAGTGACAACAGTGACAAATACAGAGGTAATATAACCTCTCTACTCCTACTCGAGATTCCCCTGTTTATGCATCCCAGGATTGCATTAGCCCTTTGTGCTACAGCATCGCACTGGGAGCTCCTATTCACCTGATTATCCACCATGACCCAAATCTTTATCAGAGTCACTGCTTTCCAGGATAGAGTCCCCCATCCTGCAAGCATGGCCTACATTCTTTGTTCCTAGCTGTATACATTTACATTTAGCCATATCAACACGAATATTGTTTGCTTGTGCCTAGTTTACCAAATGATCTAGATCACTCTGTATCAGCGTATAATTTATCACTCCCTCAATTTTTGTGTCTGCAAACTTTCAGTGATGATTTTGTTTTTCTTCCGGGTCATTGATAAAAATGTTAAACAGTGTAGGGCCAAGAACTGAGTCTTGTGCGACCCCACTGGAACACACCTACTCAATGATGATTCCCCATATAAAGAACCAGAAAGAGGGGAGACATGACTGCTAACACAGATGGGACAGAGTCAGACAAGATTGTTGGGGCTTCTAAGCTCTTAAACATTCTTGCTAATTTGGATATTTTCACCCTCGGACCCCAGAATTTGCAGGGAGGGGCTTGAGAAGGTGTCCTGAGTCCGGGAATAATATAGATCAGGGAGCCAAGAGGCAGCATCATCCTCAAATTGACACAGAGCATTAGCTACAGCACAGAGAGGGCGCACCTCTCCAGCTCCCAGCGGAAACAGAGAGCAGACTGCCTCTGCTGCAGATCGCAGCCTCCCCTTCTTTCACCACCTAGAACCATGCCAAGGCTGGGAACTGGGTTCCTCCTCCTTTGCTCCTATTGCTTCCAATTCTTCCCTCTTTCTCCTCCTCTTCTGAACAGCACTCCACTCAACTCTCCTCTCTTCCCACCCTCCGAGCAGCTGTTACGTACCACCCACCTAGCTCCAGATCCACAGTCCTCTCTGAGTGACTCCTGGTTCTCCCGTACTCAGCCATGGTCAGGATTAGCCTTTGGCCACCTGCCTCTTCGCCCTCACCTCCCCATTCGATCTGCAGCTCTCCAGCATCTCTCTCACTTGCCCAGGTCGTCCCCCAGCCCTGCCGTGTCTGATCTCTCCATCGCTGAGTTCCTTTCTCTGACCACCCTGGTCTCTTTCAACATCGACAGCATAAGTAAGTGCATGCTGTTTGTAGGAACTCCAATGCCTTGCTGGTCACAAGTCATTTTGCTTCATGGCAGTGGGACATGGGATGTCAAATCCAGCGTAGTGTGCCACCAGCACACGGTCGCTCTCTCAGCAGCAGTGGTGTTTTTTAAAAAGAGAACTTTCCTCTGGATCCCACCCTCCAGTCCTTACTCAGGCACCATTCCCAATGACCCCATTGGGAGTTTGGCCGAGCCAGGACTGCAGGATCAAGCACCAAGTCTGTGCAGGAGATGTGGCTCTTACCATGTTTGCTTCATGAGGATTTTGAACCCATCTGGACAGGTGGAAGGGACAGGAAGGTGCAGGCTGTTACTGCCCACTCCCCAGATGATAGCTGAGGAGTCTACATCCTTGTATGGAATCTCTCCTGTAAGCAGCTCCCACAAAACTACCCCAAATGACCTGTTGTAGAAACATAAGGACAAACCTTCACAGTGAGTTACACAGGTTGTGAAAAAATTCTGTAACAGACTCAGACTTTCTGTTTGGTTATCAAAATGGGCATCAGGTTACATCTGATTTTGGATCTTGAAAATGGATTCAAGAATGGTAATGTTCATATATTCATAAGGGTGTTATCCAAGGATATTTTACACTTTGTGCAGCCTTTCTCTGCCACTGTCCTAAGTCCGCCTTTTATCCACAGTTGCATCGGTTTTAACTTTCACTTTACACTGAAAAGCTAAACCAAATACTCCTCCTTTTGGGGTTTTTAATCTCAAAAAGATATGAAGTTATGAGCAAAATACAATGGAATATCATAGTCTTGCCAATTCCAGTAAACTAAATGGCAAAGTTAGTTTTCCAAGCTGTAATCACTGTTGATCAGGGCTCCTTTGCTGTGGGACAAAGTGAGAATTCATGTGTATCATGACAAACCAGCTAACAGATTTCCTTTGGTTTTTTTTTTTTTAAAGTCAAACATTCCCCCTGCTGGCGTGTTTGCTGAACTATCCATGCCCTCTGCAGACAAGTGCTTCCAAAGCTAATGAAACACAAATCAACAGCAATTATTACAATGTGAAAGTGAGGAAACAAACACAGCCACTGTGTAGGTGCCACTATTTGGACATTTCAGACTCCGTTGGAGATTCCCTCTAGTCCTAACTTGAAGAAAGATGAACGAGAATTGTGTTAAAGCCAATCATGGCTACAGAAGTATAAGGAGGGTCTGTCCAGAGCAGGCAATCCACACTACAAGAAATGAAAATTACAGATAAGAAAACTAAATTTGTCTTTCTCCTGTAATGAATCCAAGGCTCCAGAGAGATGTCAGAATTCACAAAGGTAGCAAGGAATGACTGCCATCTACCAACCACAGAGAGCATCATAAAATAGTAAACTGATGCCAAAATGGTTAGTACAAAGACAAAAGAGAGGTAACCAAGAGACAAAGAAAAACACTCACTGAATAACCGTTCCAGAAGCTAGAATTAGCCTGAGATGCAGAGATGTGATAGTGAGTTTCAAAGTCCAAAATTACTATATCCCAGAAGGAATAGCATCTTTCTATCTCTTTCTCTACATATCCTTGCACACTGACTACATTTCACAGACCTGAAGAAGAGCTCTGTGTAAGCTCGAAAGCTTGTCTCTTTCGCCAACAGAAGCTGGTCCAGTAAAAGATATTACCTCACCCACCTTGTCTTTCTCATATCCTGGGACCAACCTGGCTACAACAACGTTGCATGGAACAGAAGAACATGATCCTGTGTTTATTCACTATTTTAATTCTTAAAGGGGCAGGTTTTTGGGGCCCACTTCTATGAGGTGCTAAGGACCTTCATCTCTCATCATCATCAAACATCTAAATACACTGAATTTTTATCGCTTTCATAGCCCCACTCCTCATTGTGGAGCATATAATTAGGGCCCTACCAAATTCACGGCCAGGAAAAATGTATCACGGACCGTGAAATCTGGTCTCCCCCATGAAATCTGGTCTTTTGTATACCTTTACCCTATAATATACAGATTTCACAAGAGAGGCCAGCGTTTCTCAAACTGGGGGTCCCGATCCAAAAGGTTACAAGATTATTGGAGGGGGTTGTGGTACTGCCACCCTTACTTCTGCACTGCCTTCAGAGCTAGGTGGCCGGACAATGGCAGCTGCTGGCCAAGGGCCCAGCTCTGAAGGCAGCAGTGCAGAAATAAGGGTGGCAATACCATCTCATGCCATCCTTTTTTCTGTGCTACTGCTGGCTGTGGCACTGCCTTCAGAGCTGAGCTCCTGGCTAGCAGCTGCTGCTCTCTGGCCGCCCACCCTGAAGGCAGTGCCGCTGCCAGCAGCAAAGAACTAAGCGTGGCAATACCATGACCCCCCCGACAATAACCTTGCGCCCCTCCGCACCCTTTTTGGGTCAGGACCCCTACAGTTACAACACCATGAAATTTCAGATTTAAATATCTGAAATCATGAAATTTATGATTTTTAAAATCCTATGACCGTGAAATTGACCAAAATGGACTGTGAATTTGGTAGGACCCTACATGACAGCACTGCTTACCAGATATCCACTTTTTCAGAGACGGGCTCATTCCGTATCACCTCTGGGGCCATCCAAGCCACGGTGCCCGCGAAGGACATTTTTGTACTTTTATCACTGAGTTCTTTAGATGTACCAAAATCTGAAATTTTTACTGCATCTGTATGAGTGACTAATACACTGGAGAGAGAGGGAAAAACACAAGGTATCAGCAATGAGAAAACGCTTTGCACTTCCATAGCAACTTTCAGAAGTGGATCTTAAAGTTCTTTGTCATCTACTAACACTGCCAGGTATAAACTATACCTATTTTATCAATGGGCAAAGTGATGGTGTAGGAATTAGTGGTTTATCTGGACCTAGCAGCAAGGAACTAAAGCTTTAAAACAGTTTGATCAGTAAATGGAATTAATTTGCTAGTTTCAGTAAATTCTCTCCCTCTGTTCAGAACAACTTTTTCCTGTGTAACTCCACCAGATCCAGTTGTTCTGCCAACACGGGAGGGAGTCACAATTACCTCTTCCTTGCTTTGCATCATAAATGAGGTAGTGCTGAAATAAAATCAGTAAAGCAATCTACACTAATATTTTTGCTTGTCTGTCTCCAACCCTACTGATCAAGGGCTCCTGGTTTCCATCATTGCTAAAACCCACTGCCCCATAAACTACACTGTTCTGGAAACAAAGCTCCTCCCTCTTGGAATCCAGCTCAAACATTTCCTATATAAAACCTCAATTTTAACCACAGTCACTCAAGATCTTAGTGCAATAGCTGTTGTTAGCAAATGCTCTGTTTCAAATCAGTATGAAGCATTGGTGAGGCTGTTTGACAGGGTCAGAGTACAGGGTTAATAATACTGCAGCTTCAAGATGAGTTACCACAAAATTCTTTTGATTTTTTTCCAAACTCGGATTCTAAATTCTAGGGGCCAAAGTCCATCCTGGTGTAAACGGACTGTAACAGAGTCATAACTGGGAACATCAAGGTTGACTATATTTGGGGGACTTTCGAACTTCTTTTAAATGCATGTTTTAACACAAAATGACTACTAAGACAGAAGATGTAATTAGCCATATACAGGTATATACTGTATATAGCAGAGATCGGCAACCTTTGGCCCATCGCCTGCCAGGGTAAGCACCCTGGCGGGCCGGGCCGGTATGTTTACCTGCCACATCCGCAGGTTCGGCCGATCGCGGCTCCCACTGGCCGCAATTTGCCGTCCCAGGCCAATGGGGGCTGCGGGAAGTGGTGGGGGCGAGGGATGTGCTGGCCACCGCTTCCCGCAGCCCCCATTGGTCTGGAGTGGCAAACCACAGCCAGTGGGAGCCGCGATCGGCCGAACCTGCGGATGTGGCAGGTAAACATACCGGCCCGCCCCGCCAGGGTGCTTACTGGCGGGCCGCGTGCTAAAGGTTGCCAATCCCTAGTATACAGTATAATTAGAGGTAACAATTACAGAAAAATGTAGAACTATTTGTTGGAAAATTTATCTTGATATTCAAACTAGCAATAATAAAAATAATAAGTGATGTAATAATGATAACCTCACTACCCAAACAATGTAACACACCATTTAAAACATTTACAGTCAAATAGAGATACAATAACA